TACAACAAAAATCCCAAAGCTCAACCGGTAGTTCCTCCGGGATACTGGACAAGTAAGGTTTCCTACACCAAACCCTAAACCCTAAACCCTAAAGGAATTGGCCCGAAACAAAAGAACCCTAAAGGAAACCGTAGACCCAAACCCGAAAACTTGGTTCCAAACTTCCCAACCCTGTGTCCTGAACGTATGCTTCTGCCGGCAAGGTGGGGGTGCGGTGGAAGACTTCTTGGTGACTAAACCCTAAACCCTAAACCGTGAAAATACTGTATCTGCAGGGTCTAGGGTAGATGGCTGCCTGAGGCCCTCAACAGTTTAAAGGATGCTTGCAGATCTTGCGGCGAAACCGCTCGATCTGAAGAAGTCGGACGCCGTGAACCTGATCGCGTTCGATGTGTTGATCAGCCCGGACAAGCCTGCCCAGAGGGAGGTGATCGACGTCGACGACAAGCCACATCACGAAGGGCAGCCTCCGGAAAGCGATCTCCCGGAGAATGTTGCCGAAGGCTATTTGGCTTGACACATGCGGTTAAGTTGCCGTTAAGTAAAAACAGCCGATGACTGCACGCGGCATATTTGCAAGGTGATGGAGACCAGTCCGCCGGAGACGACGGAGTCAAGGACCCCACGCGCAGCATTACGAGAACGCTGCATGATGTCAACAGCTTCCTTAGCCAGAAGATGCACGGAGTCCTGGAGAGCAGGGCTGTGCAGGAGGAGCTGAAGCTGCTGAATATTCCGGCAGACATTGTCCGGCCACGCTTTTACAAACACATAGAGCTACTCCTCAATGTGCTGGTCGAGGACATCTACATGACCCACTTTGTCCAGTATGAGTCCGACATCAACATCAGCTTGCAGGCACAGGGGAAGCAGACGGAAGTCAAGGTCCCTGTTCCCGTGGGTACGGAAGTGCGCTTCCCGTACATCGGGAAAGTCGTGCACGCGCAAGGGAGACTCCCCAAGACGAGCTACGTCTACCTATGTGAAGTCCTGGGTGTGTATCGGCATGACAATGATTCCAGCATGATACCGCATAGAAAGATTAATGAATAGCTTCCAATCGACACCAGGATTTTGGATTTAGGGCCTAGGGTTAGGTGTAGGGTTAGGCTTCAGGAGGTCATCAAGCAGGGGTTATTTTGGCTCAAGCCTTTCGTTGGCTCTTGCTCTTCCGTCTCCTCTTGCTTTCCGCCACTTTGCCTTCGCGATGGGCGTGCCGGTCTATGATGAACCTGGAATCGGAGCGGCTAAAGGTGAAGGGTGCCAGTATCTGGTCCAGGCCCGGTCGAAATATACCATATGCGATTGTTGGAGCAAGAACAAGTCGTCTGGGGTCGGTTTGAATATCCTATCTAGAGTAAGCGCAAACACAACAGTTCTTCAGTGGAAGAATACGTCCTAAGAATGACCACTCGCTGTTGCCTGAACGGGCACACTTTCTCACCGACACAAGCAATCAGCACACACCGATTGTTTCGTGGGTGTCTGGGTTTGGGTTTTCAAGCAGCTCGGAACATGTCTGGCTTCAATCGGCATGGAGACCCGAACTGCAGTTCCGACATACTAACTGCTGCGGTGCAGCGGTTAGTGTTCCATTTCCCTTTCATTTTTCCTTTATCCCTACAACCTGAACTACTCGTGCAAGGAACCTCAGAAGGGATTGTTCGCTTGCAGATTCACAGCGATGTCCACCAGCTGGCAGAGAGACTTGCAGCAGAGAGCAAGAAGGCAAGGCGGCCAGACTCCGGATTCAGACATCCAAGTTTTTCCATGAACCTACAGTAGCGGTTTGAAGCCTTCGGTGGCCATGCACCACATCTCGCGGAACTAAATCGAAGAAGTGCAGTTTTCCAGGCTCACAGCGATGACCAGCAGCTGGTAGATGGGTTTGAAACAGCGAAAGAGAAGTGACCAGCAGCTGGCAAATGGGCTTGAGAAAGAGAAGGCGTGGAGGTTGCAAGGCCCGTGTCTGTCCCCCGCCACCACGTCAAACATCCAGGTGGTGCCAGTGATGGACGTTGAGGCCTTGCCGCTGCAGGAGGTCAAGAAAGAGGATGTTGACGAGGAGGCAGCGACTCCGGCTGGTTCGGCGGCCCTTGCCAAGGAGGTAATCAAGACGCGCCAGGGCACCACAAAGCCCAGGCCGAGCATAACGACGATTTCAACCTTGAGCCGAAGCCGAAGACGGCTAAGAAGGATAGGAAGGAAAATACAAGAAATAAGTGAGCGTCTGAAGGTTGCTGCATGCCCCTTACTGTAGTAGCCTGGACAAACGCCAAAACATTCCTTAAGGTTCCTTGTTATATTTGCAGTATACTATACTCCAGTACTAAAGAAGTTGCTGTAGCACGAATATCAAGACTTCCTACTACTCCCGCGCTTTTATCCTGGAGCTTGGCGAACCCATGCCGCGCTGCACCTTCCTTAAAAAGAAACAGCGCTAACAGTTCCGGATAGTGTAGCTTGGAAGTCGGGATATATGACTTAGATTCCAGGGTTATGGTTCGGACCTGGCAGCGAAACTGCGAACTCCATTCGCACCTAGAACCTGGAGCCCTAAACCTTCAACTGGACCGTAAAACCAAACTGGACCCTAAGCCCTAATCTACACTCCAAACCCTAAACCCTGAATCTAAGAAGGTGCTTGAAACTGGAACCCAAGCTCTGGCTTTCAAGTCCTTGGCTGCGATTGGCTGTTTCGCCCAAGAAAAGCCTTCACAAATTTGAGCCAACCCTGAACCCTAATCGTGAGACCCTGAACGTTTTTTTGTGTGAGCACGGATTCGAGCAAGATTTCCTTTCCTCAGTTCTTTTCAGGGGTTGTTATGTAGGGGCGTAAGCAAAATTATGATTATATATAGTCTATAGTATAAAATCTTCCAGCACCCTATCTAATGATGAAACGCCCAACAAAACCCCGAGGCACCATAGTCTAGAGTTTACATAGGGTTTGGGCTCAGGGTTCGTAAATCCGGAGGCTACGCAGCTCCAAGTGGCGCGACCGGGGGGGTGTCCGTCGCCGACGACATCTTGTTTGGGCAGGACCGGGCTCACGGGACGGCGTAAGCCCCGTAGCTGAGAAATACACTATCAAACCGAGATTTATGGGTTTAGGACTTTGGGGATGGAGGGCTTTGGGCTTCGGGGATTCAGGGCTTTCAGCTGCAGGGTGACGGTAAGCCCCTACCCAGAAAGCCTGAAAAGATTCCATTCCTCGCAATGAGCTGAAAGATCCCTACATCCCTGAAGCCTCGAAGCTGAAGCCCCAAACGGCAAACTCTAACTAAGCTCATAACACTGAATGTAGACCCCTAAACCCTGAAGCCGTCAACTCCGAACAGCAAGTTGCTAAACTCCTTCAGCGCACGAAACACCCATGACAAAGCTGAAGAGATATTTTGAAGAGAAGAAATACAAAGAGGGCTACAGTCTCTTTAAGCCCGGCCCTACACGGTACAAGAATCAAATAGCTGACATCAAGGACGGGGCCGTTTGCGTCGTCACGGCTTGGCAAACCCACAAGAAGCGCCCCGACAGAGTCGTTTCAGTTTCGACTGTCTAGAGGGTAGTTTTTTGAATTAGGATGCCGTATACCTTTTAGGGTCTTTTTGAAGGGGTATTAATTTTGGGGCCTGAAAGGGGGCGTCTCTCAGAACTCGGGATTATTCCCCCCATATTCCGTTTTATGGCTGCCGTCCAACATACCCCGAAACCTTCACATGGGTTTGGGGCGCTTGACTGCAAGGGCTTAGGCTACGTCTTGTTCCGTCTAGGCATCAGACTGGGGGTTAGGTTTTAGGGTTTACCTGTAACCGAAAAGACCTACCTTTTTAAGGAACCATATATAGAAACCATAATAAGAAACCCTAAAAAGGTAGGTCTTTTCGGTTACAGGTAGGGTTTAGGGTTGAGAGCTAGCAGGCTGCGCTGCGGAGCATTTCTTAGATGCAGGAGGCCGTAATTCTCGACCCGAAGCCCCAGAAACCCACGACGAAAATCCCATCACCGTAGACGGAAGGGCCGGGAACCCCGAACTCCCTGGGCCTAAAACCCCGAAGCCCTTAGTTAGTAGTGATGTCCCCTCAGCTTACTAGAGTCCGTACATGATTCTACCATAGTAGAAACCCAGCACTTGTACGATAGTACACCCTGAAGCCCTTCTTCAGATCATTCATGCCTCTATAGTAGGGCCTTCTCAGAATTTGACCGCTTAAAATGGTTTAGCTTGGAAGTTTAGGGTTAGTTTAGGGTTCAGGGTAAGGGTTCGGGTTGAATGTTTAGGGTTCAGGGTTTTGGGTTAAGCTCTAAGGGTTTAGCATTCAGAGTTTGAGAGTCACGGTTGCGGGGTTTGGGGTTCAGGGCCAGGGGTTTGGGGCTGAGTTCAAGCCCTACACCCCAAACCCTAAACCTTAAAAAAACCCTAAACCCTAAACCTTAAAAACACCCTCAACCCTAAACCCGAAAAA